GTCAAAATACATTTTTAAATCCAGTCGGAGCAAATGTGCAGTTACGTCATCTTTAACTTCAGAGAGGAGTTACGTCTTAGCATGACATCTTTATTATTAATATAGCTAAGATATACGGATTTCGATACGTCACTGTAGGTGACGTAACTGCACTACTGCTCCGACTAGAGTTTATTTTGGTAGTTCTCGAGTATTCTATAAGTAATTTAAAATAAAGTTAAAAAAAAGTTGAGTAAATATTTTTGGAACATATTTATATATAAATATTATATAAAGAATTTTAAGCTCGTCTTGTTCGTCTGTCGTGTGTTTTTTACATTTATATTAATATTTTTCCAAATAAAAGGTGTCGCAGCATTTTTTTATTTTCAAATTTTGTAGAAACGTCCTCTAGCCAAGACACCTAATTACACCCTGTACATGAAGCATGTATAGCCAGTTGTTCATTAAAAACCGGGAGCAATAGTTGCCGTTCCCGGTATTTATTTCCTCCCGAAAGGGGCTCCAGGGCTTCCGGCAGATTTGTATGGAAAACCACCCTTGCGCACGAAGCATTAATTTGATTACGCTACCCCCCGTACGCGTCGCTTTAAATTCCTCTGGCCTAGCGAAAAAGGTGCTGATGCCCGACAAAATAGCCAACTCTCTCGACGTGCACTCAAAACATTCGGGAGGAAAAAAAAGTTGTTACCACTTCAATGATATTTGAAATGAACGTTTTTGAAGAAAATGATTTTAAAAATAATCGTTCCTTTGGTGACGTCATTAGACGGTAGACTAAACGTTTTATGTAGGAGCCCGTTCCAAACTGAACTGATTTAGTGGGTTTTGGAGACTGATTCTTGCATCAACTTTATACCAACAATATACTAACTATACTGTATAACTAAAAATATAATTTTGTTCTGGAGGATTTTCTCTAAAAAATTAGTTTAGTTTTGTTTGACTAAATCTAACTGCTCAAAAAACATGAAAAGAAAGTGGATTTTGTTTTTGTATCTAGTCTAGAATCAAAAAGCAATCAAAAGCAAAAAGCAATCACTCCACAAAAAAATATGAACTAGGCAATCACCATAATGTATATTTTATTAAATAATGTTCCTTATACATTATGTATATTACATTTTCCTACTTATTTTTAAAAAATATAATACCTACTTGCCAAGTATTAATTTGTCCAATCTTAATTTTAAAAATTCGTCTTTTTCCCTCATGCCCAACCAATTAAATTTCATTGCAAGTTCCTTTGAAATCAGGCGAGTCAGAGCTTGTTTTTCAAACTCATAACTACTGCCGCCGCCTGATTTTGCTATCTCATTGACCTAGCAAAATAATAAAAAAACAAGGCATGATGTTGGTAGGCTTCACAACAATAGTTCGTGCAGCTTAAAATTTATCAAATCTTATGTTGTATATTACCATAAAGCTCTGCTTACATGAATTATTATTTCTTCAGTAATAATAATACCACAAAAAATAGCTGAAATGAAAGCACTGAAAACAGTAAGCACAGCATACAAAGTAGCCGTATACTTTGCCAACAAAAACAAGGCTGAAAAGATGGCGGACGACGAGCCGGAGGAGAAGCCGACAAGACTCGAGCGAGTCCGGCACAGCACGACCGCGAGTAGTTGCGTCATTGGTTGCAGCCGAACAGTATTGTCAAATGGGATCTTATAAACAAATATAGTATTTTTACGATTCTGTATTTTTTTCCTTAGATTAATCCTTATTTTCTGTGGCATTTTTATTAAAATAGTCTCGCTCGTGTCCAAAAATAATAAAAACAATTTGGTTTTGCCAATAAAATGTCTCCCAAAACACCACAAATCTAAAAATACTAAGTATTTTCCTTCTCAGTTGTTGTTTCTATTCTAATGTTCCCATTATGGGCCAAGGGGACATCATCAGGCCATCTATTCAGAGGATATTAGTATATATGCTAACGTATATCCTAAGAACATAAGACCGGATATACTGCATTACATCAAATAAAGAAACATGTTTTTTTTTCTAATTTCTAGGATAAATAATTAATTTTCATATATCCGGACTAATGTAAATAACTTCTAAAACCCATAAGGAAGACCAATTTTATTCCGTACAGTGACAGGAGCGGCGTTAAAGTTTTTTTGTTTAGTCCTACGCTTAGTTCCGGCCACTTCTAACCGTCGAACTGCAGGTCAGTGAGTTTGAATCCGCCCCCTCCACGTGCCACCGGCTAGCTTATTGATTCAAGCGAGCACGGTTGAGTGGCGCTGACGTAGGAAGTCGACAGGTAGGCGTCGGAGATCTTTCGGATGCATATGCACGTACAACTCTCGCGTCTTTGAAATTTTTCCACAAACCTCCGAAGAATCGCTTCAACTTAGTTTTTGGTTAGTTTTGCTCAAATACAAAAAGTATGAGACTAGATTTGTGTAAAGGTCGACTCTCTAGTCTTTCATTAGATCTAAAGAATCAGCTATATTCTCTAGGCTGGTTGATGAAGATTGAAAAACTAATAGACGTTACGAAAAGCGATTATCTCATCTCATTCATCTCCGTTGTCCTGTGCTTAGTGGCCACAAACCAACTATTTTTGGAAGACGCTTCTCAGATTTCCAAAAATTTTTCCGGCGGTCATCAAAAAATGTCGCTGCGTTTGAGAATAGACCATAGACTAAAATTTGGTAGAATAAAAAATGAATGCAAAGTGAAGCTTAGGTGTGCTCTAGTCCATTGATAAAATTTCGTTAGTTCCTACATTCCTGTAGCTCTGTTTTCTTGCTTTCTCCTTTTCTTTCTTTTCCTTTGTATCCTTTCATTCTTCTATACCGCTCTCTACATAAGGTAATACTTCAATTATTTCATTTAAGGCGAATATGAAATGTTGTAATATGTATTAATTCTTTGTATGTATTAATTCTTCAGGAAGGAAGCTGGGTCAAGGCCCATTTCCCTTTGTATAGCTTTATATAACTTGACATGTACATACTATAAATTGAATAACAAATACTATTATTATTATTATTATTATCTTCTTAATGGAAGAGAATAATAAAATGTTAATTTGCAATTACAGTTTAAATTGAAGCAGATATTTGAGAGGTTAAAGATCAATTAAATAAAAGCTTATATAGAACTAGAAAAATAGATATCAACTTCATCCGCGCCATCTCTATATGAATAGCAAAACTAAGTGACTCAAACCGCGCCGATTGGGGGCGCGCGCAACTCAGCTGTTTTCTACGCATCAGCACTAATCCACATTTCGTCGAAGCAAGTGGGGCATTTTAATTTCAAACCAAATATTTGTTTCTTTCGATTTTTTACTGTGTTACATACAATATACCTTAAAGGTAACGAGGGAGTTTTATTACACTTCTGCTGGTACATCAATAAAGAAACTAGATGGTCTTCCGAACTCAGCATCGTTTTCTAGCGCGTTATCAGCATCCCACATTCTGGTGATCAAAATTTTAGCAGACGATGTTATCAACTTGTCATTTCGTAACTTATCCACATCAAGTAGGCCCAAAAAATCATGCTTATCCATTATTGATTGTAATGGCTTAGCATTAATGTAACCTTAACATTCACGGTGGTGTTTGGTGGATTAAGTAAACATTAATGGTGTATGCTCACTTGCCAAATGATGGTTCTTTTCAGAAAATAGCAAATAATCCGATTCTTTTTCGGTTGTACTCGATTTTGCGGTTATTAGTCGAAAAATTTGAGTTTGGAACGTAAAGATTGACGTTCGTGACGCACATGCGCATATTTGATTTCACGTAGAGAATTAAAAGTTAAGAGCTGGTTGACTTCTTAATGTTACTAGTGTAGTAAATTACATATAGCATTAGTGTCAAAATGTGTAGTTTAAGTTACGCCGCTATTTATATGGTATTTATTTACAATCTTCCGGCATCTTCCACCCTCCATCTACAGGATTTATTTATTTAAACTAATTTCGACCAACTCTAAGCGTATTAATGCATCCCGCACAGGAAACCGGTACTAAATGTGGCCAATTTATCCGAGAATTACAAAGCGGACGTGTGAATAAATCCTCCTAACCCCCGGATTTGTCAATGTACGCACCCTAGGTGTGTCGACGGAGATGGGATGGCCGAAACCGACCGAATCCGAAATAACGTCCTTGCTGTTTTTTTCCCAATTAGCTGTTCATTTCGTAAATCGTTTTTTTTTTGTCGATAATGCTCTTTTTCACAATGATTAATATGAGTGGTGAGGCACAAGCGAGCAGTTATTTCTTTACAAGCGAGAAAATTACGCAAGAGTATAATTGAATTGGTTGCATACTCAGAATACAAGTTTTTACTGGATTATAGGATCAAGGTAATGAAATCAGATTTTTATGGAAATGTATATATATATATATATATATATATATATATATATATATATATATATATATATATATATATATATATATATATATATATATATATATATATATATATATATATATATATATATATATATATATATATATATGTATATATGTATATATATATATATATATATATATATATATATATATATATATATATATATATATATATATATATATATATATATATATTGTTATGTTTATCTCACAAACTAAGCATGGAAGCGAAGAGAAAAAATACATTACTGCGTCTGAAATATATGCCAGTGAAGACAAGAATGTTTGATATGCTTCTTTGACGCCATCTCGTGTGGTGATACCAAACCAACGCTCGAAAACTTTGGTGTTGCTTGATAGATGGAGCACTTGTCAATCAATTTTTATAAAGGAATTTTTTTAGATCAAGTAGATAAGATGCAAAAAGAAAAAAGTTGCGCTTAGAAAGTGTACGTTATATTTTTTGGTGCTATTCAATAACATGTAATTTTTTTTAACAAAATGTGAGAGACGAAAGGTCAAGGAAGAAGCAAAATCAATGACTGATGTCGGCAATGAGCGAATTCTCCTGGTTAAGTTTTCAACGTTAAGTTAACTGTAGAAAAGAAGATAGTTTTCTGTGGGTTGACACAAACGAAGAAATAGGTTGAGTTGAAATCGTTTATGGTTTATAATAAAATGTTTAAAATTAGGGTGCTTTTGCAATTCTCAAAATGCCTGACAAATACTGGATCGCTAAAAATACCTCAGGTAACCAAAGTCGGAAAGTTTTCGTCTTGGACGCAAAAGACTGACTATTTATGCGGTGCTACACTATTTAAAAATTATAATGTTAGAACTTACGCGAAAGGCAAAGATAAAAAGAAGGAAAAAGGTTCATAAATCTACTGTATGAAGGATTGGTTTAATTCACTATTTCCTTGCAGGCAAAACTAAGGTGGCTATAGATGAAAACCAGCTGTCAGAAGTGATTAATGTAGAAACTCTAAAGACGCAATTGGAAAAGGCGGTTTTCGGGTTAGAGGAAGACTTTGTAAAAAACTTATCCCTCCGTTCTACAGCAGGTAAAAAAGATCTATAAGGTTTATTAAGGTTAATTTGAATGCTTTAGGAGCTATTGAATCAATACCGGTAACTGTAGATGGTACAACACATTCACTGCAGGAAATCGCGCAGATAGTTAGGAAAAATCCGAAAATGGTGGTGATAAATATGTCCGCTTTTCCCCAATATATACCGGACGTGGTAAAAGCGATCGGAAAGTCTGGCATGAATTTAAATCCACAGCAAGATGGCACCTCGCTATTTGTACCTATTCCGAAGTAGGTGCCATTTAATTTATTGATGTTGAATTATTTTTTACATGCTCTAGGGTAACAAAAGAGCACAGAGAGGGCCTGTCCAAAAGTGCGAAACAATTGTTTACGAGGAGCAGAGATACAATCAAGGACATTCAAATAAAATATGTTAAGCAGATAAAAAAGAAAGAGAAAATATCAGAAGATCTGGTGAGGAGTGTGGAACAACAAATAATCGCGATTGCAGATAGTTACATTCAAGAGGCGGAAAAATTGTTGCTGAGAAAACAGGAAGAGCTGCTAGGGAAGGATTAATTGAAATTAAAAACTTTATCGTGATCACTCGTTTTTTAATTGTAAGTTTTTAAAAATATTGGTGACTTAACGGTACAGTAAAAAGCAAAGAAATACTTAGTTGAATGCAAATCACATGTTATTTTCTGCGGTGACTGCCCCAAAGATTAATATGGGACAGTCACCGCAGTACTTCAATAAAGTAGCAACAATAAAAACGATTAAGATCCCGCTTTCCCAACGATACCGCCCAGTTACCGTAGACAACTAATTGCTCGTGTCCATGGCAACGGCTGGCCTGGGGTCGCTGGGACCGTCGTCCCCCGGTTCGTCATCTCTTAACGGACCCAGAGGTTTTTCTGGCTGAGAACCGCCTCTTCTCTCTTCGCCTTCAATTAGTTTCAAGTATGGACCGGTTTCTTCTTCCTCAAGTATCTTAAACTGTTGGTCTTTGCCTACATACCCAATAGAAACATTTTTGGTATTCAGATCTACTTCTGGTGGCAGTGTATCCCTTAAGGCGCGAAGTCCGTGTTTAATAAGCTCTTCCAGAGAACTGGTTTGTAGTTCTTCGAGGTGTTTTTCTAAGTAGGTGCGGGCACTCTGAGACCGAGCGCCGATCGACATTGCCTTGCAGTCGTAAAAATTGGCAGACGGACAGGTTTGATATATATGAGCACCTCGGTCATCGTATCCGGCAACCAGAAGGCCTACGCCATAAGGTCTACGGTCGTAACGTTGGGTGCACACTTGCATTTTATTACCTGTTGAAAATAAATGCTCCATCTACCACCCAAAAGTGAAAAACTAAGCATTTCTTACCCAACATAGAAATCAATCTGTTTAGCGGCAAATACGTATCGTGAGAGTATTTATAGTTTAAACACTCGGTCCTCATGTATCTACTCAAAATTCTGGCGTCCGCAGTTAAACCAGAAATGGTAATTCCTATGTGATCGTCGATGTTGATAATTTTTTTCTGGTAAGCGGACAGTTCCGAAGACGCTCTTTTCAAAGCGATGAGGACCGCGTGGGTCTTGCTTTTGAGCCCCACAGTCGCGGAACCCAAATTGACCGCTTCCATCGCGTACTCGACTTGGTGCAATCGTCCCTGGGGACTCCACACCGTAACATCGCTGTCGTACTGGTTTCTAAACATTTTGTGCGCTCACTCGTACGAAACTTGGCGTGACCGGTTTAATATTAACTTGAAGAAAACGAAAATAAAATGAAACAATGTTGGTTATGCTGTGTCACAGCGAATCAAATTTTTGACATTCGACAATGATGGTGACTCGTTGAAAAAGGTTCGGGGGATTTTAAATTACCCATAGCAGATAACTTTACTCAAGAAATCGTAGAAAACTAAAAAGTGAATGCAGTGAGGTTCGGTACCTGTGTAACAGATGGCGCGGCCATATAAGTTTGTAAAATCTATGTACAATTGAAATTGTCTTTTTTTTGTTTGAGTACACAATTCCAATATCGAATTCGGAATGTTTAATGAACGTTTACAATGAAAAACGGTAATTTTCTGATATGGATGTTGATGTCGATGGACAAGATGCAATTTCTATTTTAGCAAAACTAACCAAAACTAACCCAAGTATTCTGTGTATTCTGTATTCTTATTGTCGCTTTAGTAAGAAGGTCGAATATTGAAGATTCTGCGTATAACATAAATCAGCTAGGTATATTTTGGTTGTCCAGCATATTTAACGTATTTAACTTTTGTGGTTTAAAAGAAGTTATGGGGATTTTCCTAAAAAAAAAAAAATAGCAGTCTGATCGTCAATATTTTCAACAATAGTATAATTCAATTTCTTTAGAATGATATATCTAGTAGCTTATACCATGATTATTCCAAAACATTTGAACATCTACTATGCCGATTTCAAGAGTTTAATGTACAAATTTCTATCACAAATTATTTCCAAAACGCCAGAATTACAAAAAAAAAGTTTAAAGTTCCAAATTTGTATAAATTTTTAAAACGCAGATTGATTCAGAAGCCGCCGAATTTTTGGAAAATGTCTGATAGATGACAGCTTAACTTTTTTTCCTTTTTTGACCGCATTTTTTATTTTAATTGTTTTGATCACTGTTATCGTAATTACTTGTCCAACCTGCCATCGAAGAAATAAGCTATAATTGACTACTTCCTTTTTCAACTTTTTTCAAAGTATTCAGTTTGAAGTAGCCAGATTTCTGAGTGTCGATTTAACGTGGACTAATCAAATAGACCATATTTAAAAAAAAATTAACATCAAAAGGGTAGAATTTAGATTGCAGATGCGATTCATGTGTATTAATTGTTAAATCTAATACTAGTGACAAATTGTCTATAGTTGCGAATAGTCCAGATAGTCCGGTTGTGTTTCCGATAAAATGTTTTAATCATTTGCCTACTTCACCGAAACACACATAGCGCTGGTGACTTTAAAAACGGGGGGAAAACTAATTTAGTTCGTCATTTTCCATTTTTATTAATTTATTCATATTTGGTAAGTATTATCCCGACTTTTTTGAACTTCCAATAACCTCAACTTGCGTGCGAAGTATATTAGAAAAACTTGTTCTATTTTCTAAATTAATATTCCAAAAAAATATGGTAAGGATGTAATTGCTGTATAATACGAGGATCCGACCACACTCTGAAGATGGCGGCACTAGTTACTAAAAGCCAGTGATCGTAGTTGTGCACCTCTTGATAGTTATTTACCAAAGTTTCAGCCATTTTGGACTCGTGGTGTTTAGTTGAGAGTCGTTTGAGTGAGTAGATGTGACTGTTTTCTTGAAGTATAGAGCTGTTATAATTTTTTTGTAAACCCTTCCAACTGCTCTGTCACATTTGCAAAGAAAAACAATCTTGTTTCACCAAGACATCTCATACTTCAGCGGTTGCCATGCTTGGTGCTTGACCATCGGCCTTACTCACCAGATCTAGCCCCAAGCGAGATTTTCTTCAAATGAGGAAGCAATCACCTTCATGAACGATTATTTTGCAAAGAAAAATACTGAGTACTATTTGGACGGGTTAGCGTTTTGGGAACTTCGCTAGAGAAAATAAAAAAGTGTCTTGAATCATTGTTAGGTCGGAAACTTTTCAAGCGACCCTCGTATACTATTTGGGGGAGTATTTTCAAAGACCACTTAACGCACCGTCTCCTGTAATAAATAAACAAATATGATTTTTTCTTTTACCGCATTTCGCACACTCCGGGTGACCCCGGGGGGAAACTCCCACCCCACGGGAAAAAACTGGCGTCGAAAAGAGACGCCGCGCACCTAACCAACCCCTCGACCCCTACACTTACGTCGGCAATCTTATCACGAAACGTTCGCTCCGTCTCCCCCGGTCAATCTTCCCCCCGGCGGATAAACCGGCGCCGACGCCCACGGGCAGGGCGTCGGTGCGGGAACGCCACGCCCCCGACGCTTGCGACGCCGACGTCGAAATGGCGTCGGAGAAGCCCGCCAGAGGGCAGATTACGGAGAGGAACGCGTGAAGCGGACGACGCGTTTCGAGAAGCCGCGAAGTTCGATTTTATATACTTATGTATACATATGTATACGGAAATACTTGATCCCAGTGATTGGCACTAAATAAATATTGGACGCGTTTGGTGCTTGAACAACGTCGCGGCCCTGAACGCCGGAGGATCATGGGTAAAGTTTGATGTTCTTGTTTATCTGCTTGGAGAGGAAATTATCGTAAAACGCGTCAAGCTAATCGCAAACTAGTTGAACGTTCTAAGGACTGGGTTATAGAATACCGTCAGTGAATTAGATCTAGATCGAAATGGCAACGCCGCGAGGCGAATTCTACGACAGAAAAGGACGGCTGGTAATGGGGACTCTTGTCTTTCTCTTATTCATTTATATATGGGAAAATCGGGTGGTCTTTATTTACCGATTCACATCACAGTACATTTAAAAATAAATTGCTGTATTGTTTTACTTCCACAAGGGACTTAAAATACACAGCTATTTATAATATATATACATATCGGTTTAGAACGTCCTTCGACGTTGTCCGACACCTAAACTCCAACCCCGTCGATCTTCACAATCTTCAGGAGTCAGATTTCTTTCACTCATGCATTTATGCATAGCTTTTTACCACTCTAGTTTTGGCCTGCATCGTTTTCTTCTACCTATTGGTGGTTGGAAAAAAATCTTGTTTTAAAACTTCCACATATACAGTGACTCACAGCTTAAATGATGCAGATATTTAATAATTACTCATCACGGAAGTGGGTACAGCCAAAGAAAGATAGCCAAAATGGTAAATAAATGCCCGTCAACTGTTCAGCATATCATTGAGCGTTAACTCAAGGTAAGCTCCAAACCTCAATGAACCTGAGGAAAGATGGAGGATGCAGAAGTATTGAAATATAAAAAAAAAGTGCTCCAAAGATGTGTGTCGTGGTGATAAGCCGTTCATCAGCGGAAGAAATAGACGCGTGAGATTGGCATTCGCTAGAGAGCATATCGATGAAGATTTGAACTTCTGGAGTTCAGTAATATTTGAACTGAGGTGGCTTTTACTTGATGAAAATCCATTTATCAAAATAAATAAGAACTAATATGACAATTGTTTCGACAACACCCTGTGTTTATCAAATGTAGTATTTACAAACTACCTGCCGAAAAAGTACCATAAATTCTTAATTAATGTTGCGAGAATTTAAGTTAAATAAATGTCTCATTTTGTTAATCTCGATGGCTGCCAATAAATTTAATTTTTTGCTTTTTGTGGCTGTATGTAAAATATCAAAACTGTCGTGAAAAATGTGTTTTCGTGTTTAAGTGTGTAGCATAATTATAATCTAGACTATTGTTTTTAAACGGTCTTTTATGTTTGTTAATGGGTTTCTTGAATGATCTACCTGTTTGTCCAATATAAATTTTAGGACAAGATTCGCATTTCAACCTGTAGACACCTGATTTTTGAGATTTTGAACATTTCGTTTAATTGTTTTTTAAAAATGTCCCTATTGTTAGTTCTGAAAGCTATTTTTTAACAAAGAATTTAATATCATTAAACAAATTGCACTCTGTTCATATAGATAAAATTATAAATAAAAAACAAATGCAGACAACAGTAAACTCTATTTTTCCGAAACCTAATACAGAACACGAACAATATAAAACAATTACATACATAGAAGAACCTAGTGAAAAAGTTTCAAAACATTTTTCAAAATGTGGTTTAAAAATAGCTTTCAGAACTAACGACACAACAGGAAAATTTTTAAAAAACAATAAAATGAAAATCAGGTGTCTGCAGGTTGAAATGCGGATCTTGTCCTAAAATTTATGTTGGACAAACAGGCAGTTCATTCAAGAAACGTATTAACGAACATAAAAGAGCGTTTAAAAACAATAGTCTAGATTCTAACTATGCTACACACTTAAACACAGAAAAACACATGCGACCAAAATAAACTTATTTGGAGCCGATGGAAAAATGTCAGTGTGGGGAAAGCCTAGGGACGAATTAAAATTGAAAAATTTAAAAGTTACTGTAAAGCTCAGTGGAGGTGGGGCGATGTTATGGGGCTGTATGTCATATGCAAGAGTAGATAATATGTATTTCATTGAACGAAATATGAATCGATATGTGTATTTTGATATATTAAGACAGCATCTAGTTGCTAGTGCCCAACAATTAAATATGGGTAACAATTATCGGTTCTATCATGACAATGATCCAAAGCAAAAGTCATTTCGGGCAGTTGGTTGCTTTATAACTGCCCAAATGTTATTAACATACCAGCCCACTTATAATTAAAAATTTTTGGTTGACATTAAAGAACAAAGTAAATATTGCCCCAATATCTAACAAGTATGAATTAAAAGTAAAGTATGGAACACAATTTCCCCGGAGTATTCTGAGAAATTGGTTGAATCAATACCCAGAAGACTACAAGCCGTTACCGGTAATGAGGGAGGCCCGACAAAACATCAGCAGAAGTATTTCAAATTATGCAGTCGTTTTTCTCTATTGTTTTGGTTATAGGTTATTTAGGCTGTGACATTAATATTGTATCTAATTTAATTAATTCTTTACTAACTTAATTTCAATAAGTTGCTTTTTTTTTTCAAATAAATAAAGCTACATTCACACCAGTTAGTTTTCGGAATAGCAACTGCTTCATTTAAGCTGTGAGTCACTGTATTTACAAGCAGAGTGACATGTTCCGTCAACACTGTAACATTTTCAATCTGACGTGACGTCTTAACTAAAATTCATCTTGATATACACGAAATCTAT